CCTGGGTGAACCTATGTACTAGGTTGACCTTTATATTGTGGACTCACCATTCACTGATTTTTACCATTCTTAAGTAAATGCAGAGAAAAAATTCCTTTCACTGTTGATCTCTTTCCTTAAAGCAATTTGTAATATAATTAAACATATATTTTGTCCAATGTCCGTTATTTTTATTCCCAACAAAATATTTCAAGGTTAATGAACCTGGACTGGAAACAGTCAAATCAAATAATATGCTGCCTAAGTACGCATTGAATTGTAGGTGACAATAAAATTCAGTGGAGTCAAACATTCAATTTATCTCAACTGCTTAAAACAATATAAAATGCTATCTCTGAAACAAGCATTAATCATTAGAATTCCATGGTTCCTCCAAGCGTGTGGCAGAATCTGCAGGTCACACATTGAGCTTTGCAGCCATCTCAGAACTTATTAAACCAGAGTAGTAGTAAGTCATCTTCATCCTAACTTTTACTGCTTTATATTCTAATCCCTTCAAGATGAAGGTTAAAATTCCAGTTGCTTCTTTAAATACTTTGTATTATGTTTTATGACATTCTACAAAGGAAGCATGAGTAACCAGGAAAATTTTAAGATTAGTTTACTACTTCTGTTCTGCTGGTTAAAAAAAAAATTGCAAAGAACATTGCCTAGAAGCATTGTATTTTTCTCTGTAGGTTAATCTGTAAGAACCAGAGAGTAAGCAAGAATGCAGAGTGATAGAGCAATTTCTGTTGTGTTCACCATGCAGAATGTAGGGACGGCATCACATTCCAAGAGATCAAGTTTATAAGGATTTGTGAGAGACTGGAAATTGTACTGAACTTTGGGTTGAAGGAGGGAGCCCAGAGTAGCACATACCGTGAAAATCAGTTTGAGGAACAGAAGTTACCAGGCTAGAAACGGAAAAACAAAGCAAGCCAGAGGAAGTTAAGAATAGATTTGGACTGGTCCTGGAGAATAAAGTGTTTAATTAAGGGACAAGACATAACCATAGAAGAGGATTTTCAGTCTTTTTGATGAGGAACCATTTCTGTAGTTCAGCACATAAGCTGTCTACTACTAAAGGCATGTTGCAAAGAGAGGATGGGGATGACCAAAAGATTAGGTTTAGAGGAAAAGAGAGATGAGTTGCATTGGGTTACAGAGAAGAGAAATTTGAGGTTTTGGTGAGCCAGAAACCAAAGTAATGATGAGCAAATGGGACTTAGGTTGAGTTGGATAGAAGGATTGCAGCAAAATGAAGGGCAAACTAACATTATCAAATATAGAAAGATGGGAGACTATCAAGAGGAACATTGAGAGAGACACGTATTAAGGCTTCAGAGGTAGATGGACCAAGGCAAGGGGTTTGGTAGGTGATAAAAGAGGGAGTAGATGGTTTCCGTGAAGGAAGCGGAAATGGTCTAACAATTGGTTTTTCCGATTTTCTCAGATATTTTGATAGAGATTCATAATTTGCTCTTGTGAGATCTAGTGAAAGTGGGCAGCATGCAAATTTAGTGCTTCCAACTCAATAATCTATTGGTGGCAAGGGTTGAGCAGCTCCCATACGATTGCATGCTTCAACTAGATGCAATGGTGTGATCAGTATTCAGCTAACAGTATCTGATGCAGCCACCTCTGTTCAACAGAAGAGGGACAGGCTTCATTTAAGTCAAAAGAGAATTGAATTGGCAAGATACAAAATCTATGTCTGACGTGAACATGTTGGGTGGATTATCCTAAAATGGGGGTTTCTACTTGGAGGAATGAAAATTAATTCTTGTTGCAATGTTACTAATATGTTCAATCAGACAGTATTTTAAGAACACTAAACACAGCTAAGCTTTAAAAAAAAATGAAATGCCAACCTGACGTATGGACTTTAAAAAACTGTGTAAAATGAAAGACAAATTGGAGATAAAATGCTTTCTTTATTTTCATTCGTGAACATTCTAAGATAGTCAATGTGCAATCAGCCATTGAAACCATTGCAAAACCTCCTCTATACAAAGTAGTCATATCTGGCAGTTCTGTATACAACATTCAAAGTGTGGAATCAGTGGATGGTTACCAATGAAACACTACATATGGTGCTTCAAGTAATCAAAAAACACTGACTTACAGCAGGTCAACTTCATATATACAAAATATCATACAAGACAATACTGTCAGCAAGTTTGATACAGTTTGGATATTTTGACACCTTATCAAGATTTAGGAAGCAAAATTAATTGTACAAACAATTTTTTTTAATAAAATACAGTCATTTAGGCTTTCATGTGCTTTGACGACAAATTACATTACTGATAAATGATAAAATTCAGCTTGTTGCAAAAGGAATCAAGAGTTAGAGAAATCCAGTACTAGCATTTTAATAAATGCTCAATAAAATTAACATGTTCCTATGAGCTTACATATCAGCACTAAACATCATATAAATACTAAACATATATTAGGAATTTGTACTTCCAACATTCAATGTTGTAAGTTAATATGGCTGAATTCTTATAAAAACACTTATGTACAATCTTAATAGATAAACATTTGGCAACGCAACAACATTCGCACTGTAATTTGCTTTAGTTTTAATATTAAAAAGGTCAATTTAAATGTGAAAACATCTACAGAAATTTTAATTATCATAAAAACTGATTCACTAATCTTACTTTCTTCAATTCACCCAAGTCCTTTATGTTTTAAAAAAAATCATCTATTTATTTTGCTTTCTTGTAGTACAAAGTCATTACACTGAAACTTGGCATAGAAGTAAAGATGTCCTGTATTTGCATTTATATTATAGATTAGAGATATTTTTAACTGATAATTAGGACAGACCAATGTTTTAATTAGTAGTTGGGTAGAGCATGCACAAAGGCAACCTACAGCAACCGGAATTTCCCAAAACAATGTGTTCAGGGGTTTGATTTTATTAAATGCACTAACTTCTCAGGCCAATTATTGTGAAAACTGGTATGATTTTAACACATGATAAAAAATGAAAATGCATGCTTTTAATCAAAAGTAACAACTAACTTAGTACCTGCATTTGGCCGCAAAGATAATTGGCATATTGAACTGTGTCTGAACAGCAGAGTAAACAGATGTTAAAATATTCTAAGCCTCTGAAGTCGAGTGCATTTGTTTTAATTTCCTCCAAGGAAACTTTTCTAACATCGCGGTAGTTTTTACTTACTACTGATCATTTATTGACTTCTTTGACTTTTCCATGAATTATTTTTAACCAGTGCTACCAGACAAAATTGCACTGAACATCTACATACTAAAGCTTGTATCCATAATGCTTTTTTAAAAAAAAAAGCAGCCATAAAAATGGTAATTAATAGAACAGTAACATTAGTTGTTGTATTTTACATTTACAAAAAACAGATGTAGTTCATCTTTATCAATACCATAGAAATCCTGATTTTTAATACAATTGCAACATTGCTTTCCTTTTAACTGATGTTGCTCTTATGTTATTGGCATTATTAGCTCCTTCAGAAAGTGAGATCACAAAATTAGTTATGTTAAGTAATAAATTCAGCAGCAGAACAATCCTGTGATTTAATCTGACCTTTTTTAACATGCTCTCTGTGACCATTATGTAAAGATTTTTTCTGGTGCCTAGGTATTAGTTTGAAACAGCAAATATTCTACATGAATATTTCCTCGAGACATTAATAATATGCCCTTCCCAAATAGATATTCTATTTAAAATCAACAGGAGTAAAATTCATCATGGGTATGGTACACAGCAAGGGATAGCGAGTCAACTAACATTTTATATTTGCCTGACGTTGCATTTTGTCAAAAAGAAATTTTGGCGGGCATGCTGATATGTTATCACCCGTTTTTTGCTACCATCCAAGATGAATTTCACTTCCAATGTGTTCAATGTGAATAAGACGGTATTTAGATTGTCTATAAAGGTTCAATGCAAATAGAGCTGCAGGGATAGATAGGTACCCAATTTGAGGCTGCAAAATTTATGAGGTTTTGAAAATCATTGTAAGGAGGCTAATGTATTCTCTGTGAAAATGGGCTATTGTAATATTTGATATCAAAAAGTGAGGTAAAACTAACATACAAAACCGCAGGCTCGTTTGCCTTTTCACGTAAGACAAAATTGGAACAATCATCAATTGTAAATCTGAGGATAATCTGCACAATAGTGGTAAATATCTGTAAATAGAGAATCTAACAAACCTCAATTCCTGTGGACATAATTGGACTTCCAGAAGATTTTGCAAGGAAAGGTCCATATGAAAGGCTATTAGTTGCATTCAAAACTGTGGTTTGGGAATGGATGAGGATTAATTGACAAATAGTAAACAGTGAGTAGTTATCAGTAGATTGGCAGAGGACAGGTGTGAAGAGTTTACATGGGATACTGAAGGACTAGTGTTGTGATCACTATTTCTTATTTACAGAATGACACAGAACAATGGGGATAGATTAGAAGGACTAGTTAAAAACATTTAGTGGGTACAACAAAAATATGGGGAATAAATACATTTAACTAAACATTGCACATTAAAAGGAAAAACAAAGCACATATGCTATGGATGGTGACAAAATAGGTACAGATGAAGCCACAAGAGACTACTGAATTTAGTGGATTCAACTCACACGTATGACCAATACAAAGCAGCAGTCCAAACAAACAACAGAATGTTGAGCGAGGCAAAACAGCAGATTATAAATCTGAGGAAAATGTGTTTGAGATGTACACTGCAGTAGTCAGACTGCATCCATTCTAGTTTTGGCAAGAAACAAGAGGTAAGATTCTAACAGTTTCAGAATGACCCATTTGTACAGAAATAAACAAAAACAGAAGCTGCTGGAAAAGCTCAGCAGGTCTGGCAGCATCTGTGAAGAAAACATTAACATCAGAGTTAACATTTCCGGTCTGGTGACCTTTCCTCAGAAGTTCAGAGGAAGGGTCACCGGACCCAAAACGTTAACTTTGATTTTTTTCTTTACTGATGCTGCCAGACCTGCTGAGCTTTTCCAGCAACTTCTGTTTTTGTTCCTGATTTACAGCATCTGCAGTTCTTTCGGTTTTTATTTTGTACAGAAGTAAAATTGAGCGCAATGGTTAAGCATTAGTCAATGGCAGTAGCCTCTCCTGTAAATCAAATCATTATGGTTCAAGACCCACTCCAAGACTTGAAGACACAATTGAATCTAACTAAGGAAAGTGCTGGGTTTTGAATGAGACATTAAATCCAGGTTCTGCCTCTTTTCTCAGGTGGTCATTAAAGGTGGGATGACACTTATTTGAAAGTAAGCAGGGGACTCCTGAAAATTTGTTGCTCAACATGAGTAAAACACTTTTACTTTGTAATTTGTTGCCTTGTTGTTTGTGTGATCCTGCTCTGTGCAAACTGGCTGCAGAATTTCCCAATACTTTATTTCATGGCGAGAAGTGTAATACTTTCCTTTCAAGCACTAGAGACAGTTCCAAGTAGAACCACAAAGTTTATGTTCAGTGTCAAAGTTTTGTGATACAGTGAAAGGCCAAAGAACCGCTGTGATTTCAGTCGGTCAAGAAATTATATTAGCAGTGAACAAGCTAGTTATGGGAATGGACAAGGTAAATCTAGAACATAAATTAAGTTGTGACAGTAGGATAGGGTAAACACACGTCCAAAGTAGTTAAAGGTACGTCCATGATGGATTTCACACAATATTCCATTAAAAAAGGTGATCAGTGCACAGAATTGATGCTCAGATGGAACAGTGGAGGTGAACACCCAGGAGTAATGAAAATAAATTTGATGCTGAAATACGGAGAGCTTTCTAAATGGATGAAGTAAGATGTGGGGATCATTGTCAATGGAAACATTTTTATTGGCTCTCCCTGGTTGTGCTGAAATAGTGACGGTGGGTTTTCTGAAACCAATAGTGGTATAATACAAGTTAGGACAACCAAGGATCAACTATATTGGTAATGGAATGGGGTAACACATAGGTTAAACTAGGTATGCATGTCTGATTTCCTTCCCTTGAAGACACTACTGGACTTGAGGGTTTTTATGACAATCAAGGTCAAAATACAAAGCCATTTGTAACCACCAGTGACAAATTTAAATTTGGCTACTTTAACCAAGCTGTTGTGATTTGCGACATGACCTACATATTTTTGAGTAAAGAAAACAGCAATAAAGGCATAATTTTGATGATTCAAAACAGAGAACATGCTCACAAAATTTCTCAATTTACTTTCCACCTGCTGCATCTCAAGCAAGTCTATCTTTATATCAACATGAAAAAGGAATTGAATTGGTTGTTGCATTTGACTTGACTAATGATATAAAGCCATAGCACAGGTCATTTTACAGGTGCCAATTGAACAAAAGTCATATTGGCTTGACTGTATCGTTCTGTGATGTTACTTAAATAGGTTATTTGCAAATTTTTTCAGCCGGACCATTGAGCAAACTGCCACAGAATATATAAATATACAATTTAGAATGGATTATATAGAAGCATGCAGAGAATGATTTAGTAATGCTCTGAAAAATAAACTGCAATTATTTATGAATCTCAGTCTCTGAAGATTGCTTTGAATATCTGATCAGGAAAAACATACATTCCTTTCTAAAGCAGAAAAAGTAGCCATATTATAGAACATTTCAGCTGAAAGTCTTTGAAATTTCACAAGTAGCCATTATTCTGAAGTTCTTATTTATAAACAGGTAGATTTGTATGGTCCACCAGCTCATTCATATAACATTTTTTGATATAACTGTTTAAAGTTTTTTTTTTCATTTTTAATGTATATTGAAAATATCTTCCTCTTGCCCCAACTTTGCTATTGACACTGTTCAAATCCAAAAGGATGTTAAAACTGTACTTTCAGTTTATTCTATTATAATACATTGCTTCAAACATTCAATTTGTAATTCTTCCAAGAAATATACCTTAAGAGCATAAACATTCACTTCCCTTTTAAATATAACTACGCTTCGAGTACTCTTGCTCATAGATACCGTTTGTGCTTTTCAAAGATTGTTCAAATTAGCCCTTTTATCACTTTTACAATCATTGTTAATATGTAATGCAATTGTTAAAATATTTGTCCTCTCCATTAATAATAACATTTTGAAAACTGAAGAAAAATTCCAGGAACTCATTTTAGCAACTCCTCTCCAAATTTTGCTTCATGGATAATATTTACTGTATGTATCTGAACAATTAGATAGGTAATAGTATGGGCTGATAAAGGCTTCTGGCATCAGAATAAGTAGTCCCTCTGTAACTGTAGCCAAATGCCAGACGAGAAATTTGATACACTCTGTTCAACCTAAAAGTATTCAGGCAGGCACTTGACTAACAAAGGAAATTAGAATTATTTAATTAAGGGTGATAGGTTCTTGTTTTAATTACAATGTCATAAACAGTTTGTGACTTTTTGTATTCAGGGGAAAAGTTGACATGATATTTAATATACTTCAACAATTTCATAAATAAGCCAGTCTGCAGAGTTAGATGATGACATTTCAGGCATCTCCTTTAGGCTATGAAATAGCTGATTGCCACAAAGATCACTGTCCCACAAACATGACCTTCCCAAAGTCAATCCCAGTCTGTAAAATTCAGAATTAAAAATGTAACGTACTTTTACACTATTAACCTTGTAAAAACTTGTGTAAAGTTACAACTTAACAAATTCTTCAGTACATGTGAACTGCTGAAACATGATTACCTATCCCAACTTGTAACTTAATTAAGGCAGCTATATTTACTTATGTGCAACAATATGGACACTGTTCACATCAATTCTTACAGGAATACAAGGGAAAAAGAAATAAAAGGATTTGTTGATAGGGTAATATGAGGCAATGGGAGGAAGGTTATGTGAAACAATCACCACCTGTTGGACGAATGGCCAATTCGCTGTTAATCCTATGTAAAGGATTTGGGGCCAATTGACAAACTAGAGAGTTTTTCTAACGAGACAGTTTTCCTGCTTTCCTGCAATACTGGGCAATTATCAAAAGCTCTGTTTTTTTAAGGCTGTTGGAACATGACAGATTTGTACTCTTTGGGAAAACTACTAGTTTAAAACGCTTATTGTTTCTTTGCCTTTTTTCAACTTGTGTGAACAAATGTAGCTTTAAATACAATCTTTAAACATAAATTCTTTACAAACCCCCAACTCATTTTGCTGGAAAAATGGTCAAAAGATTTTCCAAATGTTATACTTTTTTTTCACTTCTATGCTAATACTTGAGTAATTTGGTGAAAAATATGCATATTAAAAATGCAAACATAGAGTGTATGGTGCACAAAAATGAAATGAGATGGAGATAAAGATAGAGAAACAGAAAGAGGACAAAGGAAAGAAATAAATAAGAAGAAATATTTCCTTCCAAATTAGTTTCAGAAGGCGAGCTACCTCTCATTCAAAAACCAACATAATAAAACGATGAACTATATGTGTCCAATCCTATATGTGCAAATATCAAAATGGTAAACAAAGTGGAATAGAGGCTCTATTTTTATACTAAGAATGTAGAACATAGAACAGTACAGGCCTTCGGCCCACGATGTTTTGCCCACCTATTATCCTAACTAATGTGCTTTCTCATAGATCCCTGGCTAACAGACATTAGCCATAGTAAAGCATTTGTGTCAATAGCGCAAATACAAACTGGGGAAAATTTTACTCCATTGCAACTGGAATACCATTCTGGTCACGTGCTAGTTACTTCTATTTCTCCATCCTGACCTATTGCATAACAGTGTTCCATTACATATCAGCAGATTCACTGATCAATGGGTACATACATGCGGTCAAAACAGTTTAAGTTTAAGGTGCCCACCTGGATTCTTTTGGCCAAATTAGCATTTAGGTTGAACAAAATCTTTGCACGTTCAGATTTTCTATAGTTGAGACACTTTTCGAGGCTGAGATCTGGGTCTGACAAGAATTTCATCCATTCTGTTTTCACCTTCTGACCTATGTACACGCAGTACATGGGGTTTAGGAGGGAGAGCTGGTGGCTCAGCACTGGGAGGAACAGACAGGCTATGAGGTAGAGGAGCTCGACGTCTTGACGTTCCAGTGCCATGTTCAGATAAGTTGTAGCGTGGTGGCATACAAGCAAAGGTTCCATTCTCCCTTTTAATTAATTCCTCAGAGCCAATTAAGGTGCATGTAATTGTTCCATCAGTCAAGGTGGTCTCGGTCACACTTCCCCTGCTCAGGGAGGAGATACCACTACTACTGCTTCCAGACAGTACAGGTGAGTTGTAAACTGGCCCCAAGGATTGATAATCAGTGGGAGAAGGTGTCAATGATTGAACAGAACTCTGTTGGAAAAGACGAGAGAAATACAGTTATAGGTTTCAATATCATAAAGGCAAATTCGTCTAACAGATTATGTCCTATTATCTTTGATAAAATGTATAGAACCTCAGAATCCTAAAAATGTAGAAACTACTCAAAATATGGAAGGTTCTACGATATTCCTCAAACAACCATTTAATTTTTTTGGTGATTAAGCCTTTTTGAGACAATTCAAACATGTTAGCAGATATTAATTAACAGATACTAATGTACCTGTTCTGAATTTCCAAGAGTTTCCTTCTTATAATTATGTTGTATTTGCTTTTGTTGATATTGATTTTGTATTAGTTTTGAGCTTAAACAAATGTGCTAGAAATATGTGAACAATCTCAGCCTGATACATCTCATTAACACATTTTCCACTGTGCTAGATGTAGATCGTGAGTTGAGAGTGGTGATTACACACTACTTGCCTCAATGGGGAATATATGGCACCTCAGTTACTGTGATACACATCTTTGAACAAAAATAGAAGCAATGAACAGCTGACATTACAAGCATCAGATCCCTAAAACACTATGGCCTCAATTTTCATACACACTAGTGTAAGCATAATTACAGCTGTTTTGGCATCCAAGCTGTGAATTCATTTCCTGAAATATACATTACCTAAAATAAATTTCTATCTAAAATAAATGAATAAATCCAGGAGTTTAACTCCCGTCCTGAAAAGCCTTTCGTCTATTTTTAAAACATAATGAATACACTGGCTCTGTCAACTCTGGCAATGGAAACACCCGCATATGCATAAGCATTGAACTACTAACTAAACACGTTTCATTTGTTATGATCCCTGTAGAAACTTAAAATACAACCTTTAAATATAATTTCTTTGCCCCCAGCTCATTTTGGTGGAAAAATCGTTAGAAGGATTTCAAAATCTGATACTTTTTTTTAACTTCTATGTTGATAACATGGTTAACAGATGGATAGAATGATAAGATATTACCTATTAAAACTTGTACTGTAACAAATGGCCAAACATCATTTTCATAAGCAACGTACATTTTAAACGACATAATGGAATATCTCTTATTCTCAGCCCAACAGGAAAAAAAAACATATCACTGGCATACTTTACATTGTTGTTTACATGAACATTCAGTGCTCCCAAAATCAATCCAAAGTGATTCTTAGCTCCTGAGGACTTATTTCTATTTGTATATTAGTAACATGCCATCTTAGATCTGTTTTTCACAGAGTTCTTTTTTTTTCTGGAGATTTTTCCTCTTGCCCAAGATAGAAGAATGCAGCATGCTTGTTTTAATTTCCCAAGAATTTGGTCTTTTCAATCAGAACATGAACTTCCAGCCACATTCCTGATTGATAAATCTTCGTGGCTTTTTTTTTTTCACATCCAACTACTCCCTCGCCCCTGGATCCAGGCAGATGCCAAACACATTTTTTGATATTCAGCAATATTCCAAGGAAGACTGTAACTCGATGTTCACAAGAGCTTCCTCTGCATTCTTCCTCCAGCAACATGAATCACATGGGCCTTCTATCTAGGTAGAAATGCTAATTAGCAATACTCAAGAGACAAACTCTTTTGTCTTGGAACTACATGGAGCATTTAAAGCAAAACTGCTGTGAACAGTGTGCTCTGTTGATAGAAAGGCTGCTGCCTACAAAGAAAAAAGACCATTTGTACCACCTCCGTAAAACAATCAAACCTTCCTTTGACAATTAACATTTAAATCATGCCAGTTTACTGTCAGACAGATTTCAGAACAGGTCACACATGACCTCTTTCATTTTACCTTAAATTGAAGGCAGAGTTCCAACCATAACTACCTTATTAAGCTCATAATTTTAATAGCTTCCACCCCAAACCAAAATAGTATGACTATTATATGATACAATAGTTAGAAAATTATAATACAGTACTGTGACAATTAGCTACACTGCACCACACAATTATGTAGAATAGAAAGCCAGTGACACTAATTCACAATTTCACCGTGAAAATAATATAAATACAATTAGAAAAATGTTTGGGAAACATGCAAATTCAAATTTGAGTGAAATTAACCTTAAGCTACATTCTCAGTTCAGCCTGTTCTTATGTCACATCTTGCCCCCAGGGTTTCCATCTCTCCCAGTTTATTGTATGGACTAATGTTTTTTAAAAGATATTTACATCATGATTGTCTCTTTATTGTCTTAATGCTTCTATTATTTAACTGAAATGATCAGTTCTATCATTCAATATTTCCTCTTCTTTGATTTTCTTTCTGCTTTTTATTTGCCTCTTGTATATAACATCCCCACTCTGTCATTGTATTAGTAAGTCTTTCTGTCCCCTTATTTTACTGCCTTGAAGCAAACAAAGTATTAATAGCTTTTCCATATATTAATTGAATTGGTATTTGAATTTGCTGGAAACATGGAGGAAAACCCAACAGTTAAAATTACAGTATCAACAAAGGGTCTGCACCCTAAATGTTAATTCCTTTGGTCTGTCCAAAGATGTTAGCTGACCTGTTGAGTTTTTGTTTTTATTTTAAATGGATTTCAAATGTTGATAACTTTTTGTTTTTAATGGTATGCAAAATAATTTCACAAAGTATGTCTTAATATCTCAGAAATAAGTGAAGAAGAATACCATAGATTATGCAAAGACAAGCTAACAGACACGAAAACTGCAATACTTCTGGAAAGATGAAATGTTTTAATGCCTCAAAATGCATTCTCACAGTACCAGTTACAAATCAATAGCTGTCTTAACTGGAAGAGCTATCTTTATGGTGTAGCACCTGCCCTCTATCATCTTGTTTTACTGTTACATGTCAAACAGCTACATATTTCAAAAATGATTTGAAACTAAAGCCTACACTGAAGGGCGAGATAAGACAGATGTTGTTAGGTATTTCATATAAAATAGTGCCAATGAATTCATTTGGTATTTTGGATAGACGGTAAATCAGACAAGCGGAAATAGACAGATTCTGGAAGAAGTTTTAGACAACACTTTGAGATCATGGAACTCTCATTCCTACAGTCGTATGCTGTTTCTATACACTAATTTTGGTTGTCTGTCATTTCCTTGGTAACAGGCTGCCGCACACCCAAATTCCATGAATTCTCATCAGGCTTGTAGTGAAATATTTAATGCTTCATTTTGAAATCGTTTCAACATGCTCTTGGTACTCACTGTGCACTGAGAGGCAGTTTTAAATGGTCAAGTACACGGTCTTTGCATTAAACAAAGCAGATAGTGTCTGCCAGAAAGGTCAAATAATATGTTTGAGACAATTTATCCAGTGAACAATGCCTGTGACTTCAATACAGCACATATGCATAAAGTTCAACTATTACCAATGTTACAGTAATATGGAGGAATATGCAAATGTGATTATTCAAAGATACTGATAATAAAATTGCTTCAGTTCTGCAGACCTCAATGCAGTATGAAAGGAATAGGACCTTCAATTACATACATTAAATGATATGAATACCCAGTTGCATATATAAGCTATCTATATTCATATGCAGAAACAGAAATTCTTCCTTGCATTGAACACTTGAAAAATTGACATGATGTGCACGTGTGTATACATTATATTTATATTTGTTTAAACTTCATTTATCATTAATTTATACATCAGATATTTGATTAAGGGTCTCCAATCTTCCACAGCCCAGATACACTCACTGCACCATGATAATTCAGCTCAAAAAGCCCAGGTGAAAAAAGATTCTACTTATGTCTGTATTTGTTAGTTATTGTTCTGTCCTGTTTGAAGGCTCTTGTGGTACAGTGGTAGTGTCCCTAGCCTGAACCAAAAGTCCAACGTTCAAGTCCCATCTGTTCCAGGTGTATGTCATAACATTTCTGAACAGGTTTGTTTAAAAAAAACCCTACCATATTTGAAATGACAAAGTATGAAATGGCATAAAAATTGTTCTTAGTATCATTGCCTTATTGGTGAATAAATCTGATACCGAAACAATAAGATCCATTTTATACCTATATCCTGCGATATTCTGAAAACTGTTGGGAACATAGATAAGCTTTATATATACAAGATTTCATGTTACAAACTTATGCAGCCTGAGAGTTAAGCTACTTAGACAAAGCTGTATTGGATCATATTTCTTTTGCAATTAAAAAGCGTACCTTATGAGGAGATCTGGGATTGGCAGGAGGTGTTTCAAAAGCCTGTGGAGAAAAGGACCTGTATGTCTTTGCAGGTGAACCTGTAGCATCAGATAAAAAAAAAAACATGCTGATAGTTCACAGAGGTGAAATGATTTTTATTGAGGACTATTTATTATAACAAAATTGAATTTGAGAACTTCACAGTTCAACATAAAACCAGACCTATTATCAATGACAAATATCACACTGACAGGGAACCTTAAAATATGTGACAACTACAGAAGCATGATTACTCCATGCTTACATACTTGTGGTAGAACGTATCTTCCATTAAAAATCAGCATACTGCTGAGATGATGTAACTGTAGCCAAACCTGCAAATAATTAACTATTCCTGCTGAACAACACTAATCTACACTCTTGCGACAGTCCTACCAAATGATTATGTGTTTCCCAGCCTGAAAAGCCTAAAATATCATTGTCTACATCTTAGTGGTAATCGATTGTCCAGAATGTAATATCCAATAGGGATTCAAATTATTGTCTGAAACAGTTTGGGCTTTTACTTTGAGCATTACAAATATTAATCTCAAAGACATTGATGTTATGAGTTAATTTTTTAAGCCCCATCTCAAACTAGTGCATTTAAATCTTGTGTATGCATGACTCCTGGAATACCAAGGCAGTACTTGCTGGGTAATGGAAAACATTTTAATTCCTCTCAGGAAGGAGTAGGATCGCCCAAAAAAACCACTGAGAATAAAATAGCAAATGTGATATAATTTATTCTTGCTATACTGTTGCCATTGAAGTTCAGAGATGCTGCTGAGTATCAACAAAGATGTTTGTATTTATTTTTAAGTTGTGCCTTTAGCATAGTAAAACAGTCCTAAGTGCTTCACAGAGGAATGAAAGAAAAATAGATGCTCAGAGAAAGAGTGTTAACAGGATGACCAAAGATTTCATCAAAGGAGCACCTTTCTGATGGCACGCCCATCAATGATGGGATCGGAGGGTGGAAGGTTGGGAGTTACACAGGACGTCAGACTCAGAGGAATGAAATGTTTCTAAGAGTGGGGTCATGGTGGGATTTTAGGACGAGGATAAGAATTCCAAATTATTTGAAGTGTTGAGAGTTAGGGGGAGGAAGGGGGAAGAGGTAGAAAGCATGATAGACAAGTGTAATTGGTGCAAGAAATTTAATGTAGGTTGCAGAGTTCTGACGAAACTGAACTTTCTTCAGGAGGTGGCAAATTGATCATGGAAAGTTTGGAAGACAGAGGAAATGTGTGGCAGACAAAGTCAGTACCAAATAAGCTGATGTAGGTATGAAGGTGGATGACATTATGGAAGTGTAATCAGGCAGCTTTTTGATAGAGCTTATGGAGTTGGTAACCATTTTGGGTTGAACAGACGGTGAAGTTTCAGATACTCTGATTTATTGTGTATGTACAAAATAACAAAATTGGTTTAAAATACGTAAATTAAGTCTGACACACTATGTTTTAAATCACTGTTAATTACATATTGATGATGATATTACTCCCACCATTCCCCACTCCATTGTCATTTGAAGCCACATCACAAATACACCAAAAAAACTTGAAATCTTATCAAATATAAATATAACTTAATATAAATAAGACAAAAAGATGCTTTTGTTAAGTTACTAAAAAGAACAACCAAAATAAAAGTACTGCAGATGAAACACAAAAAAGGAATGCCAGAAAAACAGTCTCCATAACACAATGCTCCAAGCCTTCTTCACCCTCAACACTTCTTTCTCACCACCGCCATCTTCTGCCCACCCCCACTGTGGGACCTTCCTATACACTTGCTCTTTTATGTACTCTGTGCTTAACTATCCAAAGCTCCAAACATACTTCCAGGTGAAACAGCAATTTACTTGTATATCTTTCAATCTAATCTAGATATTTTTCTAATTAACACATTCAGAGACGTTATTACATACCTCTGGAGCAGGTGGGACTTAAACCCAGGCCTCCTTGAAAAGAGGTCTGGACACTAATATGGCACCACAAGAGCCCGCAATTGTGTTTGCTGCTCACAATACATTGCTGAAATCAGAAGTATTCAGAACACCTCCTGCACATTTTCAAGAATGCCCATGATCATCCCATTAGCCTCTTGCTGTTTCACCATGTTATTTTCATTTGAAGATTTCCAGGCCTAGGCCTGTTGCAGTGTTCCAGCAAAGCCTGGGGCAAGCTAAATGACAAGAACCTCATTTTCTGAATTGGGACTTGACAGCCTTCGGGTCTCAACTTTGAATGTGATGACCTTTAGACCCTGAACTCTTTCCTCAATATTGATCATACCTTCAACACCTTTCTTCCCCTTTATCTGCCAAAGGACCTTGTTTATATGGTATTGCTCCCACCAGAACTGACCTACTTTCGGTCATGAACACCTACCACTAACACCTACTCTCATCTATATCACTTCTCTATTGCCATTCGCGTTCCCTTTGCCTTTGTTTTGTGCCATACTATTTGTTTCACTTGCTCCTTCTTTCCTGTTTTTTTAACACCATAAAACCCATCATCTTTCCAGCTCCCTTCAGTTCTGAAATAGTGTCATATTGAACTCAAAACATTAATTCTGATTCTTCCTCCACAAATGTTGGCAGAGCAGCTCTGTTTCCGCACCATTTTCTGTTTGTATTATAGAAGAACAGCCACTTTGATTAGCTTTGTCAGTGGCCTTGGTGTGAATTTCTTTAAGTGGTTTTGTCAAAATGCCAAGGTCTGGCCATTATCTAATTTGGAGACAGACTACATGTTATTTTACCTGTATGTGGTGGCCTGGGTGGGACAGGAGGTGACACCAGCTTTGCACTGTCTGGTACACAGTTTCGAGCTTCCTTACCACTGTCTAGACTCCAACTACTAGGAGTTGGGTTCATTACTGTGAAAGAATAATACATGCACTGTTTAGAGTCCTGAAAAGAGTCCCTAATTAATTTATTCCATTCTTCTATGTTTACTGTTACATCTTTCAGTGGATTGGTTTTTATTCACAAACATACATTAGCTCTCAAGTTCCATAATATCTCCAATTTAAAATCTTCATCCTTCTATTCAAATCCCTTTAGGACCTTGCCCCTCCATACCCCTTTATATACTCTCTGCTCACTGTCCAAGGCTCCAAACACACTTCCGAGGTGCAGCTGCAATTTACTTGTCCATCTTTCAATCTAGTCTAGGTATTTTCCTAATCAACCTGTTCAGAGATATTATTACAGACCTCTGGAGCAAGTGGGACATGAACCCAGGCCTCCTTGCTCAGAGCAAAGGGGTACCTTCAGTTCTCCTTCAATGTCCCAATCCTTTAAATTTGACCTGTTATGCATCTTGAATTCCGTTCATTCTAATTTGTTGGCTTTTCCTATAGCTCTCCAGGTCCCAATACCTAGAATGTCTTAGTTCTGTGCCTCTACATCTTCCAAGATCCATCTCTTTGGCTATATTTTTGCGAAAAAGATCTTTGGCTCAGAATTCAATTTTGTCCGATTATGTTTCTGCGAAGTGACTTGGGAATTATTTTCTAGGTTAAAGGCACACTATAAATTGTTGTTGTCAATAAGCATATTTTTCAAAATGCATAAAGCTGATAGCTTGTTTTACACTACCAATCACACCACATTCCTGTATGGTGCATAATAATTTTCTGTGAATATTTATCCGAATGCAGATATAATAAATAGAAATATTGATAAACTGCAGCACTCAAAACGTACTGGTGGGAAAGGTGGGCGGTAAGTGCATTAAACCACTGTTGCCCCAAAACGCCTCAGAACATTCAATCATGACGTGAACAATCAAGGAACTGTCACCAACAACACATATGAGAGACCGGATGTGTGTTGATGGTTCTCTCCCTACCAGTTTGCTGCTGATTTGTTCATAATAAGGATTATGTGACCAAAGATATACAATTTATACATATGCATAGGATTTCAAAATAGTATCATATGGGTGTTGGTAATTTTTGTGAAGAGTTTTTTTTTCTAAAGTCAAGGCCAGAGTGTCATTCTGGAACAGTGACCTATTCGAGTATGTGTCTGAGAGCAGATGACTGCAAACCCCTATGGTATTAATGGAAATCTGAGAAATACAGGTAGAGTCAGCATGCAAGACCGTAAGGTTTCTTTTCTAGTTCAGAAGAATCTTGGACAGCTAAGTTTTTTTTTCTCCCTCAGTTCAGAGGACACTGGCTTTGAGTTTACAAGCAAGTTTAGTTTCTATCCTAGAGAAAGGATTCAGAGCAGGTCAGCCAACAGTTCGCCTCAGCAGAATGGTTAAGATTATGAAACTTCCAAGCCACGATAGTATGGTTAGAAATCTGCAGGTTATTTGAAAATAGAAAATTTAGATTCGCAGATTTGTGAAAAGTCATGTGAGCAGATTTGGTTAGGGTTCATTGAACTGTCCTCACAATCAATGGAAAAGAACCTGGAAGAAGTCATTTAAGTAGAACCTTAAAGAGTTAACAGATTGAAAATGAGTTTTACTGTCTTTTGAAATCATTCTAACTGTCTTTGATATTTGGATAGTTTTTATTTATATTTTTTCTTTTGTGTAATAAACATTGCCTCTGTTGTTAAAGGAAATCTTCAGCCTCATAGGAATAGATCTCAGTGACTAACCAACACAGTAACCAACTAAACAAACAAAAACTAACAAGCCAGATTTCATTCTGAGATCTGACTTAGAACATAGAACATAGAGCAGTACAGCAGAGTACAGGCCCTTCGGTCCACGATGTTGTGCTCACCTATTATCCTACTAAGATCAATCTACCCTGCATACCCTACATTTTACTATCCTTTATGTGCCTGTCCAAGAGTTGCTTAAAAGTCCCTGAAGTATCTGACTCCACTACCACTGCCGGCAGTGCATTCCACATACCCACCACTCTCTGTAAAGAACTTACCTCTGACATCTCCCCTATACCTTCCTCCAATCACCTTAAAATTATGCCCCTCGTAATAGCCATTTCCGCCCTGGGAATAAGTGTCTGACTATCCACTCTATCTATGCCTCTCATCATCTAGTACACCTCTATCAAGTAACCTCTCGTCCTTCTTCGCTGCAATGAAAAAAGCCCTAGCTCCCACAACCTTTCCTCATAAGACCTGCCCTCCAGTCTCGGCAGCATCCTGGTAAATCTCCTCTGCACCCTCTCCAAAGCTTCCACATCTTTCCTATAATGAGGTGACCAGAACTGAACACAATATTCCAAGTGTGGTCTAACCCAAGTTTTATAGAGCTGCAGCATAACCTCACGGCTCTTAAACTCAATTCCCCTGCCAATGAAAGCCAACACACTATATGCCTTCTTTACAACCCTGTCAACTTGGGTAACAACTTTGAGGGATCTATGGACGTGGACCCCAAGATCCCTCTGTTCCTCCCCACTGCCGAGAATCCTGCCATTAACCCTGTATTCTGCATTCAAATTCGACCTTCCAAAACGAATTCACTTCACACTTTTCTGTGTTGAATTCCATCTGCCACTTCTTTCTCCAGCTCTGCATCCTGTCAATGTCCCGTTGCAATCTACAACAGCCCTCCACGCTGTCCACATCTCCACCAACCTTCAGGTCATCGGCAAACTTACTAACCCACCCTTCCACTTCCTCATCCAAGTCATTTATAAAGATCACAAAGAGCAGGGGTCCCAGAACAGATCCCTGCGGAATACCACTGGTCACCGAGCTCCAGGCTGAATACTTTCCATCTACTTCCACCCTCTGTCTTCTATTGGACAGCCAGTTTTGTATCCAGACAGCCAAATTTCCCCGAATCCCATGCCTCCTTACTTTCTGAATGAGCCTACCATGTGGAACTTTATCAAATGCCTTGCCATAATCCATATACACCACATCCACTGCTCTATCTTCATCGATGTGTTTTGTCACATCCTCAAAGAATTCAATAAGGCTTGTGAGGCATGACCTGCCCCTCACAAAGCCATGCTGACTATCTCTAATCAAACTGTGCTTTTCCAAATAATCACAAATACTATCTTTCAGAATCCTCTCCAATAATTTGTCCACCACAGAAGAAAGACTGACTGGTCTGTAATTTCCAGGATTATCCCTATTCCCTTTCTTGAACAAGGGAATGACATTTGCCACCCTCCAATCTTCTGGTACTACTCCAGTGGACAGTGAGGACACAAAGATCATTGCCAAAGGGGCAGCAATCTCTTCCCTCGCTTCCCGTAGTAACCTTGGGTATATCCCATCTGGCCCAGGGGACTTATCTATCCTCATGTTTTTCAAAACTTCTAGCACATCCTCCTTCCTAACATCAACCTGTTCGAGCATATCAGCCGGTTTCATGCTGTCCTCACAAACGTCCAGGTCCCTCTCACTGGTGAATACTGAAGCAAAGTATTCATTAAGGACCTCCCCTACCTCCTCTGACTCTGCGCACAAGTTCCCTCCACTATCCCTGATTGGCCCTACCCTCACTCTGGCCATCCTCTTGTTCCTTACATAAGCATAGAACGCCTTGGGGTTTTCCTTGATCCTACCCGCCAAGGTTTTCTCATACCCTCTTCTAGCTCTCCTAAGTCCATTCTTCAATTCCTTCCTGGCTACCTTGTAGACTTCTACAGCCCTGTCCGATCCTTGCTTCCTCAACCTTAAGTAAGCTTCCTTCATCCAAGTTTCCTTTACCTTACCATCCTTTCCTTGCCTCAGTGGGACAAACCTATCCAGTACTTGTAGCAACTGCTCCCTAAACAACCTCCACATTTCTGTCGTGACCTGTCCTGTAGCTCCATGAAATGGGATCATAAGACTATTGTTAGTAAGCATAGGGGAGAAAAAGCCTCTAAATGATGAAGCAGTGAGCTGTTGGGAAGATAAGTAGTGGTGGTGAACAATTCTCCATGCGTTCATCTGCCTGAGATGTTTACTGGGGTTCAGGGAGATAGTCAGACATTTCTAAATCAGCTAAGGCCTAGGGGAGAAGTTGGCTACAAGGCTGGGGTGGGTTGAGAAGGAGGAAGCTCAAAGGCAGGGAGAGGAAGGTTGCAGGTGGGAAGAGGAAGGTAATAAGGGAGTAAGGAGAGAGAAATTGCAACTGGCAGAAAGATTACACTGCAAAGGGAAGGAGACAGAGAGGTTGATGCAGGGATGGTGGGGAGAGGGACGCCACAATGGGGATCAAGTGGTAGCTACAAGAGGTGGCAAATGGAGGCTGCAAGGGGTGGGTGACGAGATGGAGGCTGCATGGGGAAAGAAAGTGTGTCTGAAAGGGAGAGAAAACAACTTTAAACCGGTCAACAAATTAATATACAGCCAATTAGGGCCAACTGAACTTGAAATCACTGAGGAGATGAATTCCTTGAAAATGAATATGGAATCTTTAGCTTTACACTGCACAAGCTCAGCAGCTATATGCAAAAAAAAAGTGGTGGGTTCTATTGTAACAAATACCGTCAATTATTAAATTTAATGTAACACAGAGCTTGGAGATGGTGAAAAAAGAAACTTGTAACTCCCTGGTTAAAGTCTTCCAGCAATGGAAGCACATTAGATGTGACTTCACCAGTCTGCAGGTGTGAGGGTTGCCTATGGCTAAAGTTAACATAAAATAGCTGAAAATGGTTCAAGGTTGACATAAAATGGTTGAAGAGGAATTTTCAGTTAAAATAGCAGGCTTGCATAGCCTGATGCTTGAATTTAAATTATAAATTGAATAATAGTAGTCTGTGTAAAGGGGAGTATATCAAAGGTAATGAGGTTAAAACAACACAGAGGGCCTTCGAAATGCATACAACAGGGTCCTGTTGAACGAAAAGTGAAAATGCAGCTACTGCCTGCACTGAGAGAGTTTGAAAAAGAACATCCTTGAAAACTGCTGATAGGTATCCTTTTTCAGGCTAGTCCAAAATTTGATATTTAGCATGGGATAGAATGGAAGGGACGAATCTACATCAGTTAAGACCTTCAATTATAGCCACATATTTTATTTATATATAAATGGAGTTTTAAAGATATAGGCATTAAGGGATTTAACTATATTCCTGTAGAAATTCAGTCTAAGGCAGTTAGACTATTAACATAATATTTGGAATGTGCTTGAATAAGACGTATTGGGAAGACCAGGATAAGTGATAAGGGGGTCTGGTAAACTTCCTGGGACAACATGAAGTTACCATGGACTGATTCTACACTCTGACTAGATGTATGTGTAATCGTATGATTGGTTTGTAACAACCAAAAGCAGGCTAAAAGCAAACGTACAACAAATGTCTGTTTCTCTTTGTTCAGTGGGGAAGTCCCTGAACTGCTCAAGGCTTTCTTCTCATTGGTGTAAAACGATAAACTTTCCAATGCTGGAAGTAGAGCTGGGTATGAGGTGAACTTATACATCTTATTTAGTCATTCCATCCAAACACAGGCATGTTTAGGGGCATGTCATTTTGTGTGTAGAAATGTGTCAGTTATTTTGAACAGAAATCTTTGCTGCTAATGGTGGATCTTGGGTCGAGAAATGGCTGATAGAGTTTAATGCAGATAAATGCAAGGTGTTGTATTTTGGTAAGACAAACCAGAGCGTTTAATGGTAGGGCCCTAGAGAGTGTTGTCGAACAGAGACACCTAGGGATACATGCACACAGTTCCTTGAAAGTGGCATCACAGATAGACAGGGTGGTGAAGGCAGTGTTTGCTACAGTTGCCTCCACTGGTCAGAGCATTGAATATTAGAAGTCTTAAGGGGCAGAGGTAAGATGAACAGCCAAGGTTTTTTTTCCCTCCCCCAGAATAGGGGAGTCCGAAACTAGAGGACATAGGTTTAAAGAGAGAGAAGAAGGATTTAAAAGAGACTTGAGGGGCAACTTTCTCACCTAGATGTATATGGAACAAGCTGTCAGAGGAAGTGATAGAGGCGGGTACATTACAACATTTAAAAGACATCTGGACTGGTATACAAAAATGAAAGGTTTAGATGGATATTAGCCAAACACAGGCAAATGGGACTAGTTAAGTTTAGGAAACCTGGTTGGTGTGGACGAGTTGGGCCAAAAGGCCTGTTTCCGTGCTCTATGACTCTATGACATATATTATGCCACTTCAAATCAAATGGTATCGAGGAAATTAATGCTTTCCCTCTGCGTTATGGCTTTAAGTTTAATGCTGCATAGATAATTATTGAGAATATTGTTGAATTCTTCTAATTACACATCTGTGAGAGTCAAAATTCCCCACACATTGTCACAAAAACAGAAGGCATTGTTACAACTTGACTGTATCATTCAATGAAGTAGTTAGTAAGAACAGAAAAGGAGAAAGCCAAAAAGAAAAGCCTGAAGAAATCTCAAGAAAAGATCTGAAAAAGTTCTCTCAACCCCAGTGAACTGGCCATTCCAAAAACTAAAATTCAGAATTAATTAGTTGAACAAAGTATGTATGTGGACAGAACAGTAATGTGAAATCTAACAGACATTTACAAAATTCCGCTCAAAGGAAGGTGAAATGGATGACATCTGTACTTTGTGATTGGTGTTGTAACGGCCAAGAATGAAGTAGAGTTTCCCAAGAATCATAACTAGGTGTTCAACCATTGTAAATAAAAATTAGTTAATAAGTTTGATCTACATGAACAAAAATGTTCAATTTGAATCCATAGAAGCTATATTAATATTATGATGTTCTGGTCAAACCAACTCAAGTACTGTTAACAGTTCTGATCAGGAAATGAGAGGCATTGGAGAAAATAAAGAGATAAGCTTTCAAATCACTCTCAAACGCTTTGACATGCACCGAAGACACCTGAGAAATAAACTTACAGATTGGAGAATGGAAGTAACTTCAGAATATTGCTTTAAATAGAACACAGATAGTGCTACAAGCACTCACAGCCAAAACTAAGTACACTTAAGACTAGTATCAGGAAACTATTCTTTGAACAACGGATGATCAATGCAACAAATAGTTTTCTAGAGTAGTGCAGTTAAAAATCCTAGAATTACTTAAGATACATTTCAATGCTGAAATAACAAGACTATGGGGTATTTCAGGATGAAAGGATTATGGTAGCCTGCAGGTTCTCTGTATATTCCGATCTTGTGCACAATTTTTAGATTGACCAACTGATATCTATTGTCCAATAGTAATTGACAGCAATATTAATTACTAAAGAAATGATATATGTAGAAAGGAAATTATAGCATAAGCCCACCTTTTTCAGGTGCAGATAAATTGGGATCACTTCTGGGCATGCAGGAATCACCAATCTGCTGGGTAAGTGTCTGCTGAAGAATAGAAGGTTGAAACAATGCATGAGAAGCACCAGTTCATAAAATATTATAAATTGGTACAATGCCTCTAAACCACCAGCCGGAAATAAGACATTGCAATCATAAAATATCTGGTAAAATTATGGCACTGCACAAGATCACTACAATTCAGCATTGTTCATAATCAACTAGGGTTTTTTTTAATGAATCTAGAATCTGTCGTAAAAGATATACATTGATGACAAGTTTTTAAAATGCAGATCATTGCTTAAAATCTTTCTACAAAGCAAAATTTAATTTCACATTTTGTGCAGCATTATCAATTATAAACACAAATGGTAGCCTCATACATCACCAAAGAACACTCTTTCACTTTACGATATAGTGAATAATACATAATCAGCATTTTAATCTCCCCAAGGTTATAAATAAGTGAGAAAAATGCAATAGCAAGTTGAAAACCATTCAGACAGGTTACCATCCTCACTATACATTATTTTTTGACTTGTGCACAAAACTGAAAAAAGAAACAAATCAAAAGCAGCAGTTTTCTCCTAATTTTATTTGATGATCTTGTTAGCTGGTGTTTATTTTGATCTAATCACTCCTTGCTTCCTTGTTTAGATCTGTTCAGGATTGACAGATAATAATTTTCACCTTCATCCTGTATGCAAGCCTCTAATTCTTTTATTCTGTGTTCAGAACATAGATAAAGTCCCTCATCAAACTAGTTTCAGCTAACTGATTGAATTCCACCTTTTCATGTTCTCAGGAGTACAGAAGTCATTGAACCAGATCCTCAGGTCAGCAGCACTGGAGCCTTTCAACTTTCCAGTCTTGGTTCCAGGTTGACTCCAGCAACGAGCAGAGTCAGGAGGATTAGTGGCACAGTGTAGTTGAAGTGAAGATACTGACCCATTTTTTTTTGTGAAGAGTTTACAATGTCCCTGTCACCTACAACATTGTGCAATCTCCCTCGATAATGGTCACCCCTCCCTGACGCCTCGCCAAGCCTCACAGCCAGTTGGTCACACCCCCTCCTCCATAATGTTCACTCTGAAAATGCTCACTCCTCCCACACTTCCCAAAATACTCCACCCACCCTCGAAAATGCTTCCTTCCTCACTCACTGCCCCTCAACAATGCTCTGCTCCAAACAATGCTCATTGCCTCCTAGCTCATCACCCACCCTTTCCATCCTGAACAATGCTGCAACACCCCCACAAACACCCTAGACAAAGCTGACATCAGTTGGGTAGGTGCCAGGCCAATGAAGTGCAGTAATTAAATACTGTTTAGAGGGTGTGACAGCATTGTTAGGAAGAGGACAGATGGCGATGTTTGGGAGGGTGTTGGATGGTCAGAGGAGGGAGGTCTGGGATTTGCACATAATGTTGGGGGTTCATAAACTGTGTCACAGATGTGTGGATGGTGAGCAGAATTGGCGGGGGGTTGTTGGGCTGTGTGTGTAATGGAACCTTGCCGCGCTGAGCTTTGTTGGGAGTTGGGTTGGGGGAAGTAGTGGTGTGCTGATGTGTGTCAATGTTGCTATTGTGCTGCAGTGTTTTGACACTCCAGCTGAATTATTTCAAGCTGCAATCCTCAGCAGTTGCAAGAAAAAGGTCAAAGTAAATCTGCCCTAAAAAAAAATTGGGGAAATATAGGGAAGAGAGTCTGGGTAGGTTCTGGCAACCTCATTCCAGTAGGCATTCATGCAGTAATCTGGGCCAGATAAAACTGGCAAAGTGAAGTTTAAACTGTCCATACACGTAATGTGCACGTGTCAGGATTTTCTCAGAGTCCAGAGGTACATCAGCAACTTAAAGTAGTGCCATTCTCCATTCCCATATCAGAAGGTACAAGCCTTTGTTTCCAAAGGCCATTTAATCACTTGTGTGTCAACTTCTCTTTGATTGTGTTTTGAACCAGACACACATTCATCTTTTATTTTCCACGAAGCTAATCACAAAGCTTAAACTGCTGTTTCTCAGAAGAAATGGTTCATTCTATTTTAAATGCTTCAATAAAGTCCACATTTTGTAACTGAGAAGATCAATTACAAGGCAGCTCAAGTTTTGTCTGTGGCATTTTGTATCTTCATTTGAGAGAAAAACTGACAGTAAGTGCTTTCTTTATCATCTACTTACCTGCACAGGTTCCACAGATATTGGATAAATTGCACTACAAGGTCGTTCTCTGGGAGACAAACATGTATTTTCTCTTGAATGTTTGTGTTTATCAGATAGCAGCGGGGAGCCTAAAATATACAGTAAGGAAACAAATAGTCTTTCTTTTAAGTCATTTGGCCATAATATTTCCACTAACTCACAAAGAATTCAGAGCTGAAAAATTTACATATTTTAACATATAGTTTGAATTTTACCACTTTAACTGGATTGAACAGACCTACCTCTGGCACTGGATGGAGCTGAACTAGTAACATTTGGAGATGCTGAATGAGTGGAGCTTAAGCTCGAGGTAGATGGACTTGCCTACAAATAATACACAATTTAATTATTAATAAAGAAACTTGTCTTTTAAAGACCAGTAGCTCACTTTTAAATTGTTAAGAGAATCCCAACCTAATTCTACAATAAAGTATGTTATAGCATCACATCCTGCAGAATTAAGGGGTAGGTGATGGCCTAATGATTATATTGCTGGACTGTTAATCTCGAGACCCAGATAATGTTCTGGGGACCTGGGTTCAAATCCCACAACAGCAGATGATGGAATTTGAATTCAATTAAAATATAATCTGGAATTAAGAGTCTAGTGGTGACTATGAATCCATTACTGATTGTCGGAAAACCCCAGCTGGTTCCCTAATGCCCTTTAGGGAAGGCAACAGCCATCCTTACCTGGTCTGGCCTACATGTGACTCCAGACACACAGCAATGTGACTGACTCTTTATTGCCCTCTGCACAATTAGAGATGGGCATTAAACTCTGGCGTAACCAGCAATACCCTCATCCCGTGAATGAATAAAAAATAAATTAGCCAGTCATTCAGGGACAGGTGTATTTAAATAAAGAAATAATGACATCAGATGTCTCATTTTCCATTATTAATGCTGGACGCTTAGAAATAATACACCTATATATATATTTTAAGTAGTAATTATATATTTAATATAAATGATATATTAATAATATGATTAGAATATTAAGAAAAATATTAGTAATAGGATTAACAATGAATTGAGAAGATGGTCAATTCAAATTGTATTTTTGCCACTTTATTGGGGCCATAATATTGAAAATTTTCAAAAGCAATCAGAAGCAGCTTGCTAGTGCATTTCTCATGTTTCCTCCCAAAAGTGATGAACTGCGAAGAAATACTGCAAATGGTTTGCTGATATGACTGGTAATTTACTGTAATCAGAGCAAGTTACCTTGCTGTACTTTGAAGGTCAAGGAAAGTTTAGCTAGCACAGCAACAAATCAATCATATGTCATCGAAAAGGATTTGGGTGCAGGTGAATTTACTACATGTTCGATACAGCCGCACATAATTATCTTAATAAAACATAGGTGACTATCAAGAAAACATTCTACCATATAAAGCAGCCAATCAAATCTCAATAAGTCAGAAAAATGTAGATAATTAGATAATTGTAGTCTAGCTCCTAAAGATGCATGTTGTTAATGTTAATTTAATATTATTGTTAATTTAAACAAAAACATAAATATGCTGGTGAATGATATCAGAGTTAATCTGATATTGTCAATGCTGGATAAATAAGAAGCTCAGGAACTGTGAACTTAAAACTGCCCTAAAACACATATTCCTTCATCATCCACACAGTGTAGCTGCAGCCTATACCAGCAACTAGATGCATAATGTAATGCATCAAGGGATTTTCAACACCATTTCCCAAACCTGCCATTTCTACCATCGAGCAGACAACAGGAATACAACCAGCTCCAGGAGCTGCTTCAAGTCATACGCTGTCCTGACTTGGAAGTATGTACGCTTCAGCCACTCCTGTTTTTCATCCACTGTTCTCCCTTGGTGACAGCATCCCATAAACAGAACATCAGTTTTCACACGTAGACTGATGACATCCAATTCTAGCTCATTACCAGCACTTTGACCCCTCCATTTGTCAGATTACTGATTCAATACTTGGTACAGGATGAGCAAAAATACTCTCCAGTTAAACTCTGGGAAGATGGAAAACATTGTTTTTCAATCCCTGTCTCAAACTTATTCTTTTTGTTGTAGACTACATTCTTTCCCTCTGGCCATCATTAAAGTCTAAATCAGGCAGTCTGCAACATTGGTATCATATTTTACCCAGAGACGAACTATCAAAGATATATTTGCACCACCACTAAGATTACTTATTTCCATATCCGTAACTTTGCTCAGCTTCATCCATGCCACAGCTTCTCTGCTACTAAAATCACATTTGTGTCCTTTAGGATAACATAGATATATGACATTTGATCTAATCGTTCCATATGGTATTGATGCTCCACTGGTGAGTAACAATATCCACAATGTCTTTTGGTATTTCAAAAAATTACAAGCTTAATATCACTTCTGAGCTATTTCTTTTTCCTGGCCCAAACTGGGCCAAAAAGAAACACTGCAGCTTTCCAAACGTGAACATCAAGTAATCAGAAAGCACATGTTCCTGAAGAGTCTCCAATTAGTCCAAAACCCAGTTAGTTCCAATCAAAGTGCCAAATTGTCTTTGTAGGAACAGAGCCTCTGCAATTCCTCAATAAGGTCAGTAGGTGAGAGGAGAAGATGGGACTTGCCAATACTTAGTGAAACCTGGTAGAAGTACATTATAACAGACTGCATATACCTACCTCCCAAAAACTGGAACTGTAAGCCCTACTGGGAGTTCAGACGGGAATTCATAAAGTCGAGATTCTTACAGAGGGTCACTTATTAATCTCTATTTCATTGCATGCTGCTGAAATTACTGGTGCAGATGTTAAGTACTAGTGCGCAAAGCAGAGAACCTCTCCCAGCCCTCAACAGGCTTTGAATGTAAATTAATCAATTAGAAAACGTGGGTAATTTACTGGTGGTGGTAAATAGATGAATGAGATACCACGGGTCATTTGGTGACAGGGAAAAAAAAAATTCAGTTGTGTAAGAGCAGCTCTGGTTATAAAAAAAAATCCTTCTCCCATGCAACCAAGGAAAGTTACCTCAACATCAGTGACAGCTACTTTAATGAACAGTTCAGTTTTATAGTCCTCCCACACATCTCATAAATGAAAAAGAAGCTACAACTGCACAGTTTTCCACTGATGGAGACAACCCCTATGCCTAACTAAATTTATTTTCCAAACTGAAACAAATAATGGCACAGAGAATGACACAAATGTATGTGCAACATGTATTTGCAGTTGGACAGTGCTTTCAGAGTAAAATATTATGGACTGCAGCAGTTCATGAAGGCAGATCGCCACCATCTTCTCAAAGGTAATTAGGGACAGGCAATAAATGCTAGCCCAGCCAGCAACACCCATATCCTGTGAGCGAATAAAAAAAAAAACTTGAGCCACCTTCCATCTTGCCTCAGCAAAATCTATTGTACAGTAATGTCTCATTTTTGAAATCTACTTACGTCACTGGAAGCAACACAGCTCCATAAATTTAGCCAGTTCAAGTACGGAGATGTTGAATCAAAACTGGACACATTGATTTGAATAATACTATTAGGGTTGCAGGTCAATTAGTTCAGTTCGCTGGCCAGCTGGCTTGTAATGCAGAGGGAAACCAACAGCGTGGCTTCAATGCCTGCACCAGCTAGGTTACCCTGAAGGACTCTCTTCCTTTAATTTCTCCTCTCACCTGAAGTGAGGTGACCCTCAGATTCAATTACCACTTGTCATCTCTCAAACGAGAGAGCAGCCCTATGGCCTGGGAGGACTACAATGACTTTACCTCGACTATTAGAGTGGTTTCCATTTGGAGAAGACGTGATATACCTGCATTTGAAAGACTTCGTCAGAGCTTTCAGACTGCCCAGTGATGTTGCTAACTTCAGCTGATGCTTGTGATGACAATGAAGAAGAAGAGTACCTGTTGAACGCTGGGTAACTTAATGGGCTGCAAAAAAAAGCAAAGCATGCACCAGGGTTAACAAACTGACATTGTTTATTTTGCAGCATTGGTAGACGATTTGCTGCATTAAAAGAAATTTAAACTATTGAACAACTGATTTAATTTTTAAAACTCAACGAGTTTACAATTTTTCTTATTGCACCTTGGTGGTTTAAAGAGCAGGAGGTACTCAGGCAAAACAGTACAGAAATAAGGCACTCTCTTCGCAATGCTTCATATGACAGGCTGGTTATTCATTGAGAGTTTGTTTGATATTTAAACACAATCAGTTACTTCCAGCTCTAAAAGGGTGGATTCTTGAAGTTCACAACGCAGTCTCAACTGACATATGTGAGCTCTCAAGAATTTTGCAGGAGCTAGATTTGCCATTGTCTGCTGAGTTGTCTATAAACAACATGTATTACAAGGTTATAAAAAACAAACAATTGTGGATGCTGGACATCAGAAACAAAAACAGAAATTGCTGGAAAACTCAGCAGGTCTGGCAGAAAGCAGAGTTAGCATTTTGGGTGCACTGACATTTCCTTAGTGTTCTGAAATGTTAACTCTGCTTTCTCTTTAATGCAAGGAATGTTTTGAAGGGTTATGAGGGGATCACTGTCACCTTCAAACTGAAGTGAATTTCTTGACACGTCAACCAAAAAGCAGCTGCAGGAAATCCCAAACTGGAATGTTTCCAGTTAAGACCTGAGAGTTGTAGTGCAGGAATTGGAAAAGAGAAAAGAATAGGATATCAAAATATGAAAGTATTGAGAGATTAATGATCATAGACATGAGCCTGCATAGATTTAAGTTATAAATGTAAATCTGCCTTTGCAAGAACTACGTATGTTTTATTACTACTATTTTGGAAACAAAATTTGGATTATTAGTTGTTTAAAAAAATCTGAAGTACAAGTAGAACTGTGTGGTCGCTTAAGAGTCATACAGTATGGAAACAGACTAGTTTTCTTAAACTGAACTAGTCTAATTTGCCTGCATGTGGCCCATATCCCTCTAAACCTTTCCTATCCATGTACCTGTCCAAATGCCTTTTAAATATTGTAACTGTACTGGCGACTACCAGTTCCTCAGGCAGCTCGATCCATATCCAACACCACCCTCTGTGTGAAAAGGTTGCCCCTCAGGTTGCTTTTAAATCTTTCACCTCTCACTCTAAACCAATGCCCTCTAGTTTTGGACTCCCCTACCCTGGGAAAATGATCTTGGGTAAAGACCTTATCCATGCCTCACATGCTTTTATAAATCTCTATAAAAGTCACTCCTCAGTCTCTTACGCTCCAAGGGAAAGAGTCCCAGTCTGTCCAACCTCGCCTCATAATTCAAAACCCTCCAGTCTTGATGGCATCCTTGTAAATCTTCTTTGCACCCTTTCCAGTTTAAGAACATCCTTCCTACATTAGCGTGACCAGAACTGTACGCAGTACTTCAAATATGGCCTCAGCAATGTCTTGTACAGTCGTAACATGAATTTGTGCTACAGATGGTATGTAAGAGTCAGTGGCTAAGAACAAGCAGGTCCAAAGCAATAAATAGTTTTCGTGCTGCCACCAGTCAATCCCGTGGGCCCAAGAAGATTTGTCAGCCATCACTCTTCTTTACTGACAGCGCTCTACCAACCTATCAAATCTACTTGCTTGGAAACTAGCTGGGCCTCTGAACCATCTGATATTATATTGGATCAGAGCTGTAATAGAACACCATGAGAATACTGCTCACTACAGCAGAAAAATTAAGATTTGCCTTCAAAATGGGTACAGAATCCCAAGGGCCCTGACGGTTAAAATTTCTCAATGGATGCACGGAAAATTGTCTAAGTGCTAGTTCTCTGTGTAGTGATTATAACGAGGTCAGCCAGGTGAACCTCATAGAATATGAGTTCCCTGATTACACTGGTGAACAAGCCCAATCAGGGAGCCCTGGCTGACAGAAATAAACAGAAGTGTCAGACACCCTGTTCACTTGGACAGCTGCCTCTGAGGGAGCTGGATCAGTGTCAAGGACTCTCCACATGTAAATAAAAGGTGGCTTGGTGACAGGAGACTGGCCTCTGTGGGGTTATTTCAGGAGCAATGACAGAAAAATACACTCCTGAAGAAATTTGCTCGCAGCAGTCATCTTTGAGTTATGATGTGGAGGTGCCGGTATTGGACCAGGTGAACAAAGTCAGAAGTCACACAACACCAGGTTAAGGTCCAGCAGTTTTTGGAGCGCTACTTCGTCATTAGGTTATTTGGGACTTTGAAAAATGGTAAATTGCTTTTTGCAGCCAGAAAAATACCCAATCCCTCGCACAAAGCTGGTAGGAGGGGGAGGGGGGAAACTATCCTTCAAGAAGCTGGACATGAGCCATGTGTACTTGCAATTGCGGTCGGATGAGGATTCCCAGAACTATGCTACAATTATTAGCCATAAGGGATTGTACCAATATACGAGATAGCCATCTGGGGTATCGTCAGCCTATGCAACTTTTCAACAGACGATACAGAACATTTTACAAGGTCTACCCCAGGTCACCATTTATATAGATGACATGCTAATAATGGGGAAGACCAATAAGGAGCACTTAGAGAACTTGGACATAGTCCGTAAATGTTTCTCCAGGGCAGGCATACACCTTAGAAGGGAAAGTGTGTGTTCCAGGCACCCCAAGTGACCGCTGGTGGTACCACCACTAGACGAATTCATAATGGTTTTAAATTTTCTGGACATACTCCCAGTCAGAGCTGGTGATGATGGGTGAAACCAAAGGGCCGTCACAATCAGAATTGAAAACTTTTCGGACCTGGAGAGATTAGATCAGAGTAGAGGATGGCATATTATTACGGGGAGCAAGAATGTTTGTCCCAAGCAATGTTGCCACCAGATACTGGCTGAACTCCACCAGGGTTATCCAGAAGTTTCCAAAATGCAGATGTTTGCAAGCAGTTAAGTCTGGTGGCCAGGATTGGATACAGACTTAACTTTTTTTGTCCTTTTTGGCACTCTGGGTACTGCCTCACCATGCAGTTATCAGCAGCAGCTCCCCAACATTTGTGGGAATGGCTGGGTAAGCCCTGGACTTGGTTACATGTTGACTATGCAGGTCCTTTCATGGGATCAATGTTCTTAGTCATTTTAGATGCTTGCTCGAAGTGGCTGGACATGCATACAGTTCATTTGTCAAACATAGGGACGGCAATAGAAATACTACACACATCTTTTGCAATACATGGACGTCTGGAAGTGTTGGTCATATATAACAGGCCATCATTTACCAGCAGGGAATTTGAGTATTTCCTAAAGTCGAATGATATTCGCCATAAGGACAGTTCCGTACCATCCATCATCTAATGGTCCGACAGAAAGAGTAGCCCAAACTTTGAAGACAGGCTTAAAAAAAGTCTACAGCTTCACTCAATACCAAACTGTCTCAGTTCCTATTTGACTATAGGTCCACCCCTCAAGCAACTACTGGGATAGCTCCTAATGAGTTGTTAATGGGGAGAAGACTCCACACCAGGTCGATTCTGATCTTCCCTGACCTGGGGGTGGGGAAATGCCATCAAGAACACCAACGCCAGACAGTTTATTTCAGGGGACAAAGTTTGGTGTAGGAACCACAGGAACAGCTCTACATGGGTAAGAAGCATGGAGGTCAGGTCCAGTGACATATAAAGTTTAGGTAGCTGCAACAGTCCTGAACAAGCATGTAGATGTTATAAAAGTTGCAAACTCATAAATGGCGTGGGAGCAAAACATGCCTGGCTCCTCGACAGGCTCTCTGACTTCTGGAACCTGTGGGATCCCCCTCTCCATTAAGCATTGAAGAGACCTTGGAACCTGCGATGGACATGGCGGATATAGCAGTCTCAATGCCTTTGCTACCTGGCGAAGGGAACAAATTTCTTCCCTGATGCTCCAGCTCCTAGCGGTGAGCTATTGTGCATTACAGACCACACATCTCAGAGACAGAGTTTGAGGAACCTGTCCTGGTGCTAAAATGCCCCAGGAAAAACTACAAAAACAAGAACTAGCCAATGTCCTCACACTCAGACAGTGGAGGGATGTAGTGATTGTAACAATGTCAGGCACATGGACCTCAGAATAGGAGTTCCCTGATTGGGGCTGTTAATTGCCCCAGAGAGCCCTGGCTGACAAATAAGAACAGGAGTGTCAGACATCCTGCTCACTCAGAGTTGAATCTAAGGGAGCTGGATCGGTGTCAAGGATTTTCTACGTGTAAATAAAGGTTGACTTGGTGATGGGATACCGGCCTCCATGGAGTTATTTCACTCAGGATGAGATTCTAAGATCATAAGACATAAGAGCAGAAATTAGGCCATTCTGCCCATCAACTGTGTCCCGCCATTCATTCATGGCTGATAAGTTTCTCAACCCCATTCTCCCGTTTTCTCCCCATGACTCTTGATCTCTTTGACAATCAAGATCCTATCTCTGTTTTAAATACACTCAATGACCTGGTCTCCACAGCTTTCTATGGCAATGAATTCCGTAGACTCATCACTCTGGCTGAAGAAGTTTCTCCTTATCTCTGTTCTAAAGGGTTTTCCCTTTACTCTAAAGCTGTGCCCTTGGGTCCTAGTCTCTCCTGCCAATGGAAACACCTTCCCAGCATCCACTCCATCCAGGTCTTTCAGTATTATGTAAGTTTCAATTAGATCTCCCCTCATACTTCTAAACTCCATTGCGAATAGACCCAGAGTCAAACGTTTCTCATAAGTTAAGCCTTTCATTCCTGGGATCATTCTCGTGAACCTCATCTGGACCTGCTCCAGGGCCAGTATATTCTTCCTGAGACATGAGGCTCAAAATTGCTCACAATACTCCAAACGTGGTCTGACCAGAGCTTTATAAAGCCTCAGAAGTACTTCCCTTCTTTTATATTCTAGTCCTCTCGAAATAAATGCCAACATTGTATTTGCCTTCCTAACTACCGACTCAACTTGCAAGTTTACCTTAAGAGAATCCTGGACTAGGACTCCCAAGTCCCTTTGCACTTCAGATTTCTGAATTTTCTCTCCATTTAGAAAATCATCCATGCCTCTATTCTACCTACCAAAATGCATGACCTTACCCTTTCCTATGTTGTATTCCATCTGCCACTTCATTCCCCACTCTCCTAACCTGTCTAAATCCTTCTGCAGCCTCCCTGCCTCCTCAACACTACCTGTCCCTTCACCTATCTTTGTGTCATCTGCAAACTTTACCAGAATGCCCTCAGTTCCTTCATCTAGATCATTAATGTGTAAAATGGAAAGTTGTGGTCCCAACACTGATTCTTGTGGAACACCACTAGTCACTGGTTGCCATCCTGAGAAAGACCCTTTTATTCCCACTCTCTGCTTTCTGCCAGACAGCCAATCTTCTATCCATACTAGTACCTTGCCTCTAACACCATGGGCCCTTATCTTACTCAGTAGCCTCCCAAGTGGCACCTTGTCAAAGGCCTTCTGGACATCCAGGTAAATAACATCCATTGGCTCTCCTTGGTCTAACCTGCTCATTACCTCCTCAAAGAATTCTAACAGATTTGTCAGGCATGACCTCCCCTTGATCAAACCATGCTGACTTTGCCCTATTTTACCACGTACTTCTAAGTATTTGGAAATCTTATCCTTCATAACAGACTTCAAAATCTTACCAACGAACGAGGTCAGACTAATTGGCCTGTAATTTCCCGTCTTTTGCCTTACTCCGTTCTTAAACAAGAGGGCTACGTTATCAATTTTCCAGTGCTCTGGGACCCTCCCTGACTCCAAGGATTCTTGAAAGATCACCACTAATGTCCCTGCATCTCTTCAGCTATCTCCTTCAGAACTCTGGGGTATAGTCCATCTGGTCCAGGTGATTTATCCACCTTCAGACCTTTCAGTTTTTCCAGCACCTTCTCCTTGGAGATGGCCACCATATTCAGCTCTGTCCACCTGCTGACTTTGAATTTTTGGGATATTACTTGTGTCTTCCACCGTGAAGACTGATGCAAAGTACTTATTCAGTTCTTCAGTCATTTCTTTGTTTCCCGTTGCTACTTCTCCAGTATCATTTTCCAATGGCTCAATGCCCACTTTTGCCTCTCTTCTGCCCTTTATATTTGTAAAGAAACTCTTCTAATCTTCTTTTATATTACTGGCTACATTACCCTCATATTTAATTTTTTCCCTCCTTATTTCTTTTTTCATTGTCCTCTGTTGGTCTTTATAGGCTTCCCAATCCTCTGGCTTCCTGCTGCCCTTCACCACATTATACGCTTTCTCTTTTGCTTTTATGCTATCACTGACTTCCCGTATCAGCCATGGTTGCCTCATTTTCTCTTTAATATGCTTCTTTTTCTTAGGGATGAATTTTTGCTGTGTCTCCAGAATTAATCCCAGAAACCCCTGCCATTGCTGTTCCACTGTCTTTCCTGCTCGGCTCCTCTCCCAGTCAATTCTGGTTAGCTCCTCCCTCATACCTCTAAAGTTGCCTTTATTCAACTGTAATACCATTACATCTGATTCCATCTTCTCTCTCTCAAATTGCAGAGTAAATTCTATCATATTATGGTCAATGCCTCCTAAGGTAAAGGAACCCTTAAGCTCCCTTATCAAGTCTGCCTCACCGCACAACACTAAATCCAGTATTGCCTGTTCCCTAGTTGGGTCCACTAGAAGCTGCTCCAAAAAGCCGTATCAGACATTCCACAAACTCCTTTTCTTGCAATCCACTACCAACCTGACTTTCCCAGTCCACCCGCATATTGAAATCTCCCATGATCACTATAAACTTGCCTTTCTTACGCACCTTTTCTATCTCCTGGTATATCTTGTGCCCCAATCCTGACTACTGTTCGGTAATTCCCATTATGGTTTTGTTTTACCTTTGTGGTTCCTCAACTCTACCCACACAGATTCAACAGCATCTGACCCTATTTTGTTTCTTGCTATTGATATAATTTCATTTCTTACTAATAAGGCAACACCTACCCCTTTGCCCACCTGCCTGTCTTTTTGATAGGATGTACATCCTTGGATATTTAGCTCCCAGTCCTGATCCCTTTGCAGCCACATCTCCATAATGCCCACCACATCATACCTGCCAATTTTGATAATTAAAACAGTCTTTTAACTTTAAATCTAAACAATTTTTTACCTTGCGCCAATCTGAATGAAAAGTGGCCACTTTAAAATATGAAAAATAAACCATTATACTTTGTGTGTTGAAATAACCTTGAGTTTTGCTGAAGTTTTCAAATAGAATGAGTTTGCTTGATGGACAATGTCATGACCATAGGAGGAATAATCCCAACTGCCCAATCTCCTCTCTGTGCTGAGACTAACTACCATTTACAACCAATCCAAACCCTGTTGTTGGGCAGTCACTTTTTTATTCAGACACTAATGTCCCACAAAAGTATCAAATTAACTTTTCAGCAAAGTTATATGCTTTTGTAACCATAAGTGATATTGAGGCTCTGGTCAAGAAAAAGGAGGAGGCGTATGTCAGGTATAGACAGCTTGGATCAAGTGAATCCCTTGAGGAGTATAGACGATGTAGGGGTACACTTTAGGGAGGGAATTCAGAATGCATAAGAGGACATGAGGTAGCTTGGGCAGATAAGTTTAACGAGAATCCAAAGAGATTCTACAAGTATATTCAGAACAAAAGAGTAACTAGGGAGAGAATAGGGCCCCTGAAAGATCAACAAAGCCATCTATGTGTGGATCCATAGGAAACAGGTGAGATCCTAAGTGAATATTTCACGTCAGTATCTACTGTGGAGAACATTACTCTGAGATCTCATATACCCTGAGGTGATCGATTCATAGGGTTCCTTCACATGAATTATGATTGTTGTAGAAGGGCTGAATCAAATTATAAGCATAATGGGATTATAGTAATTAAATCAACCACGTGTATTTAACTCTACTACTACTTTTTCTGTGGGTGGAGGGAAATAAAATTGTCACTTATGTTTTGTTTATCCATTGGGAAACGGACTGAAGATTATGTTTTTACAGTCCCATGACCAATGTTTTCCTCTCCAGTATCTACTGAACTATGCTGTGAGTGTTCAAATAGGTAAAACCACTGTTAACATGGTGTTATTACTTTAGCCAAAATCTGGGTACAATTTGACCATGTAGTGCCCAATTGAAAATATGTTTTTCAAATTATGTAAACATGTGAAATTATTTCAACAATGATGAGCTGTAGGGTTACGAAAACATCATTGGAATTAAATTGTACTCTTTATCAAGAAGAATAATTACATGAAATTGTATAGTAATGCTCTTTCAGCTGCCTGATCCCATGGATAATTAAGGAGATGTGTAGAACACAACATTTCTTAGTTTTATACAGAGAGCATGAAAGTAAGAAAAATAATTAGAGATCTTATATGCAGAAAGCATTCATTTTAAAAAGAAATAGTTTTGGAGATCATCCTACCTGCGTCTGTTGACAAGTCTGGCTCCATCTGGACTTATAGCACCCAACGTAGGGTTCCTGCAAGTACGAGGGCTACCGTTGGTTAAGTGTATTGGGCTCACACGAGCATATCCTGGAAAATCCTGTAAATGGGCAGAAAATATAGATTAACTGTCAAAATATGCAATCATAGTAACAGCACAATGGTGTTTACGATTTGTCCTCCCATGCAAAACATTATGTAGCTAGAGTTGAATTTGAGGCTGCAAATGAAAATTTCAGCAGAGTAACTTTGAATCAGTACCACAACCATACCTATGGACCATCCTGCATGCTGAAATCAAGAATTACTTTACTGTGTTTGTCGGAACCATCCAAACTTAACTCAGTTTCTCAAAATAAATACTCAAGGATATAGAGTCATAGAATCATGGAGATACGGAGCATGGAAACAGAGCTTTCAGTCCAACTCGTCCATGCCGACCAGATACCCTATATAAATCTAGTCCCATTTGCCAGTATTTGGTCCATATCCCTCTAAACCTTTCCTATTCATATATCCATCCAGATGCCTTTTAAATGTTGTAATTGTACCAGCCTCCACCACTTCCTCTTGCAGCTAATTCCATACACGCACCAGTCTCTGCGTGAAAAAGTTGCCCCTTGGGTCCCTTTTATATCTTTCCCCTCTCACCTTAAACCTATGCCCTCTAGTTTTGGACTCGCCAGTGCTGGGGAAAAGGCCTTGCCAATTTACCATTTTCCGTGCCCCTCATGATTTTATAAACCTCTATAACGTCACCCTTCAGCCTCTGACACTTCAGGGAAAATGGCCCCAGCCAACTGAACCTCTCCCTAAAGCTCAAACCCTCCAACCCTGACAAGATTCTGATAAATCTTTTTGGTACCTTTCTAGCTTGACAACATCTTTCCTATAGCAGGGAGACCAGAATTGCACACAATACTCCAAAAGTGGCCGAACCAATGTCCTGTACAGCCGCAACATCACCTCCCAACTCCTTTAGTTAATACATTGACCAATAAAGGCAAGCATACCAAATGTCTTCTTCCTATCCTATCTACCTGTGACTCCACTTTCAAAGAAATATGAACCTGCACTCCAAGGTCTTCTTGTTCAGCAACAGTCCCCAGGACCTTAGCATTAAGTGCACGTCCATAAAAAATAATAAAAATAAGACTTTAATCTAGTATGCATGATCTGTTTGCCATTTTAAGCTCCTACTGTTTGGCAGTTCTTTTGGGCACAGTTGCACTTTTAATACTAATATTATCAAAACTTTGGTAATGGCTTAAACCAAAGATTTACCAAATCAAAACTGAAGTGGGATTGAATATCTGTACCAACAAGAGGAAAGCAATTATTAAATATTTCTCACTGATGCTCAGTTTGTATTGTGTCAGGGCCACTCAGCTCCTGACCTCATTATTGTCTTTGTCCAAACATGGACAAAAGAATGAAACTCCAGAGTAACATTCCTTGACAGCATTTGATCAAGTGTGGCATCAAGGAGCCTTGGCAACATTGGAGTCAATGGGAATCTACTGGTCTGCATCATTCCTAGCAAAAAGGAAAATGGTTGTGGTTGGTGGAGATCAATCATCTCAGTCGGAGGGCATCTCTGCAGGAGCTCCTCAGGATAGTGACCTAGGATTGACCATCTTCGGGGGCTTTAACGACCTTTCCTCCATCATAAGGTCAGAAGTGATTGCACAATGTTCCACACCATTCATGACTTCTCAGATAGTGAAGAAGCTGCTGTCTGTATGCAGCAAGGCCAACAATTTGGGCTGATAGATGACAATACACATTCAGATGATAGAAGTGCAAGCCAATGGCCATCTTAAACAAGACAAATTTGAATCAATTCCCCCTGACATTCAATGGTATTATAGTTGCTAAGTTCTCCACCATCAAATCCCTGGGGTTACACTGACCAGTAACTGAACTGGAACTAACTGCACATGAATACTGTGGCTACAAGAGCAGCTAAGAAGCTAGGAATTCTGCAGCAAGAAATTTACCCCCTGCCTTCCCAATGCCTGTGAGTGATCTACAAAGGAACAAGTCCGAATTGTGACAGAATACTTTCCACTTGTCTGGATGGATGCAATTTCAGCAACACTCATGAAGATCAACCCCATCTAGGTCAAAGGTGTCTGCTTGGTCTGCATGGATATCCACCGCTTTGAACATTCACTCCTTCACCAGTGATACACCATGTAGCAGTATGATCCATCGGTAAGATGCTGCGCAGCAACTCATGATTCCTATGGCAGCACCTCCCAATCACAACAACCTAGAAGGATGTGGGGAGCAGATAGATGAGAACACTGCCATTTGCAAGTTTTGCTTCAAGTTACACACAACCCTGACTTGAAACTAGATCACTATTCCATCACCATTGAGGGATCAAAATCCTCCAACTCCATTCCCAACAGAATTGCAGATATGCCTAAACCCCAATGACTGTAGCACCTCAAGGCAGCAGCTCACCACCATGTTATCAAGAGCAAGTTAGGATGCACAACAAATGCTGACCTAGTCAACAAGGTCCACAAACCCTGAACGAATAAAAAATTTCATAGTAACATGATCAAAATGTATCCACTGACATAATTTTTAAAAACTTAAGAAATCAGTGCAGGAGTAGATCATCCAACACTTTGGGGCATCATCAACATTCAGTAATATCAAACACCATTTACTTGCACCACCCCTGTATCCTTTGACATTTTTAATATGTAGAAATCTATTAATGCAAATCTTAAACATACTCAATGACAAGAGTCTCCACAGTCCTCTAGGGAAGAGAATTTGAAAGATATACCTACTCTGAGTTAGGAAATTCCTCCTACTTTCAATCGTAAATGGTTTGTTATTTGTTGTGCCTGCTTCCACCCCCTGGGTCAGCCAGTGGAAATACTTCATGCATCTACCCCATCAATCCCTATTAGAATTTTGTATAATTGAATGAGATCACCTCTTATTCTTCTAAACCCCAGAAAATATAGACCCTGTCAATGTAATCTTTGCTCATACAACAATCCCTCCATCACAGAGATTAATTTGGTGAACCTTTGTTGGCAAGTGTATCTTTGTGTGGATAAGGAGAACAGAAGTGCACACTGTGGGTACAGTCTCACCAATATAATAATCTTTATTTACATATGAAAGCATCTCATAAAATAGATCATTTGCCTTCTTAATTATTTGTTGTATCTGCAAATCAATTTTCAGTGGATCATGATTATGAACATCCAAGTTGTTTAGACTGTTAACACCTTTTTTAAGATTCATTCATTAGACAATAGGCATTATTGTCTTAACAGGTATTTAATGCTCATCTCAAATTGACCAGAGGGCCTTAAGAGTTAACCATGTTGCTTTGGATCTGGAATTACATGTAGGCCAGACTGCGTAAAGACAGTCTCCACATCCCACATCTGCCAAAGGATGTTAGTACACAACAATGGTTTTTATGACAATCAGCAGTGATTACATGATTGCCATCAAGCTAGTTCTTTTATTCCAGATTTTTATTGAATTCAAATGTCACCATCTGTCATGAAAGGATACAAACATGTGCCCAGATCTTGAGCCTGGGGTTCTGGACCTGTGACATTACTGCCGCACCGCCTCCTCCCAGCCTCTAAACATTTAAGAAATACTCTATTTCTGTTTTCCAACCAAAGTGGGTTATCATACATTTCTCCACACTGTATTCTAGCTGCCAAATTTTGCCCACTCACTTTAGCTCTCCAAACGCCCTTGAAGACTCTTTATATCACCCTCAAAACTCTCACTCGTCTCTAGTCTTGTGCCATCTGAAAACTCGTAATTTAATCCTCACACATCTTTGGTATAGATAGAGAGTAGCTGGAGCTCATGCACTGACCCTTGCCGTACCCAACTAATCATGAACCATTAGTCAGCTTTCAGCCAGCATGCTACGATATTCCCATCCCCCCACTCCCAATTCCATGTGCGCTCTTTTTGTTTACTAACCTCTCGGGTGGGACCTTATAAAGTTTTATGAAAATTCAAACGTACCACACCTACTTCTTCCCCTCTCATCCATTCTTTTCAATACATCATCAAAAAAGTACGACAGGTTTGTTAAGCATGATTTCCTTTTCATAAATACATGTTGACTTTGCCCAATCCTACCAATATTTTCTAAGCATCTTGTTATCACTTTCTTTGTAATAGATTTTAGCATTTTCCCTATGACTTATGTTAGACTAACAGGTCTGTGGTTCCCCACTTTCTCTCTCCCTTCTTTCTTAAATAACAGCATTATACATAGAATTTTGAAAGATGACGACCAATGCATTAACGCCTCTACAGCCATTTCTTTCAAAATTCTGATATAGAAATCAGGTCCAGAGGATTTATCGGCATTAAGTCCCTTCAACTTCTTTAGTCCTTGTTTTAAAACTAATATTAACATCTTGCAGTGCTTTGATTACAATAGTCCCTAGATTCTCCATTATGTCTAGGACACAAATAGTTTCCTCTGTGAATATAAAGGCCAAGTGTTTGTTTCATTTCTCTGCCATTTCATTTCTTTCATTTTTAAATTCTCCTGACTCTATGTAGCTTACATACCCATAAAGGCTTTTACAGCCTGTGTTTATGTTTCCTGCTAGTCTACTATCATTTCTATATTCTCTTGGCTTTCCTTTTCAGAAGTCTGAAATTTTTCCCATGAGTGAAAGTAAAAGCAGATGAAGAAGACAGCAGACTATATGATTCAAACCTGTTCTACGATTCAATAATAACATAGCTTAACTGTTACTCCTCCATTCTTGGGCAGCCTTCCCAACTAGAGCGACCATGAAATCCCTATACTGTAGAAGCAGGCCATTCAGCTCAGTGAGTTCACACTGACCCTCTGAAGAGCATCCTGACCTCTTACCCTATCCCTTTATTTCAATGGTTAATCCACGTAGCCCGCACACCTTTGGACTGTGGAAGGAAACCAGAGCACTGTGGGAGGAAACCAGAGCAGACTCACGCAGTTGTAGGGAGAATGTGCAAATTCCACACAGACAATCGCTCCAGGGTGGAATTGAACCCAAGGTCCCTGGCACTGTGAGACATCAGTGTTAACCACCGAGC